TCAAACCCAAGTTTCCAGCATACAAAGCAAGTGACTGGCTCTTAGAACCATCTTCCTGATCCCATATGTCCATTCTTCAACAAATTAGGGACAATATAATCATAGTTTGTTTCCTGGCCTGGTATTGGAGTCTCCATTTTTGTTTGTTTGGGGATCAACCCATCTAGATGTGTGACCAGGAATCACTTTGGTGGGACTTGGGACCACATGGAATGCTAGGCATGGAACTTGGGTTGGCCTCATGCAAGGCAAATGCCTTACTCACTGTACTCTCTCTCCAGCCCCATGGGATTATACCCTATGGGATTAAAAATATGATTAACCTTAGGAGTATAATTTCTCAAATATAGTTGGAATTCTGTTAACAAGATGGAAATGGTATTGGCTTTTTGTCTCTTCATTCTGCAGAATTTGCTACACTATGTTGAGGATTAAATTCTTAGGAAACCTTCCTAAAATAGGTAGTAGCATTATTACATTTAACACTATCAGGATGGAGGGACATGGGTCTGGAGATAGTGCCACCGTATATAAAGATGACATCTTCAGAAGATACTGGAGAGAATTTGAGGCATTTGAATTAAGAACACCTACTGAGTAATGGTATGAGCTGGGGAACGGAAGAAGGAAAAGTCGTAGGATGACTTGGAGATTTCTGCTGCGTGAATCATAGGCTATTTCATCAAAGTGAGGAATATGGTTAGAGGAGGCTTGGGTGGATAAAATGAGAGTGAAGAGACAATGATTTCATTGTTCATCTTCAATATTGAGGCACCTAAAACACACCAAGAGAGATGAATAAACTTGAAAGGAAGAGTTATGAGCATCGTATTCAAAATCATTTAGAGGTAAGGGCTAAACCTCACCTCTAAAGGAGTTGGAGTGTGCAGAATGGAGTACTCAAGGAAATGATGAAGACAAATAAAGTGATGCAGATAGTTGATACCTAGTATGGTGTGAGTTTGTTCAGTGCAGGATAAAGCCAAGGAATTTTTGGAGGAACTTGCAAAGGTAATTGTAGACAAGTCTTTTAAAAACGCAGTTAAAAACCTGTTTTGAAATACAGGCATCTAATTTGTTTCAACATGTTGAATTACACTAATTGAGATCGAGAAATGATGTCAATGTTTTTTTTTTTAAACATCCTGACTGGAAACTCAGAACTCAGCCCTGTAAGCTGCTAATCAGAAAGGCAAAGCATCGCAGGCTTTTATAAAGAATTCTGATTTTTACAGGGGGACCAGAGACACAGTACAGGGGTTAAAGTTCATGCCTTATATGTGACTGACCTCGTTCCATCTCTGGAACCACATGGTTCCCAGCACCACGTGAGCACTGCTAGGGTTCACCATGGCCCAAGTAGCACTGCATGCTTGGCCCTTCACAATGAACCATCCACCTGATTGGCTGAAAACTGCTGGGAGGGCCCCTCAGAGCCCCAGAGTACCTTCTGGAAGACCCACACATACCTCCCAAATCGTGCTTTTCAAATGCCTGCCAGTATATGGACATATTAAAGTATTGTCCAAGGGGCTGGAGCAATAGCACAGCGGGTAGGGTGTTTTCCTTGCACGCAGCCAACCCGGGTTCGATTCCCAGCGTCCCATATGGTCCCCCAGCACCGCCAGGAGTAATTCCTGAGTGCATGAGCCAGGAATAACCCCTGTGACCCAAAAAGCAAAAAAAAAAAAAAGTATTGTCCAAAAGAGGTGAACAAATTAAGTACAATGAAGTAATAAGGCTTTGGGATTAAAATATAGGGTTTTTTTTGTTTTATTATAGCAGTTGGCACGGTAGCATGGTCCTCCCGTTGTTCATCGATATGCTTGAGTGGGCCCAGTAACGTCTCCATCGTGAGACTTTTTGTTACTGTGTTTGGCATAATACATCATGGGGAGCTTTCCAGGCTTTGCCGTGTGGGCAAGATACTCTTGGTAGCCTGCCGTGCTTTCCGAGATGGGCAGAGGAATCGAACCTGGCTCGGCTGGGCAGCTGCATGCAAGACAAACGCCCTACCGCTGTGCTATTGCTCCAGCCCATTATAGCAGTTATGAGATATAAATTATAAGATATTTCCATATAAATTCAAATCTAAATCAATATAATTTATGAATCACATAAACTAGTTTAAATATAAATAGAAATTACATTTCTACTCAAGAGCATACATTTAGTAGACTATTGGAATTTAAAGTATGTAAAGAAAGGAATGTTTCTGAACATTTTTCTGTCTGCCTTGTTCCCAGCATGGAACTGGTCTCTGAAATAATAAAAGTACTTGACACCATGTGACTTTGTGATTAATTGTACCTTTGTTCTTCTATTCAAGTGGTCTGGTAGCAGGATGAAAGAGAACACTTGGAACAGATTAAGGATTGGAGGACAGAGTAGAAATTGAGATCTTAGGGGGCTGGAGCGATAGCACAGCAGGTAGGGCATTTGCCTTGCATGCGGCCAATCTGGGTTTGATTCCTAGCATCCCATATGGTCCCCCAAGCACTGTCAGGAGTAATTCCTGAGTGCATGAGCCAGGAGTAATCCCTGAGCATCGCCGGGTGTGACCCAAAAAGAAAAAAAGAGAAAAGAAACTGAGATCTTAGGATGGAAGAAGAAAAGAAAGAAGCCAACAAGATTAGAGTGTAGTAGAGGGGGAAAACCAAAAGAGAAGACCAAATATCCAAGCCAGACAATGTCAGACCATGTATGTCCACTGGAACTCTGAGCCACCATGTTGGTGGCCATCCACTAGGAGGAACTGTCAATGTCTTGATTTTTTTTTAATTGTCCCTGCCCTTCCTAACTAGAAAAAGCCAAGCAGCTCTCCCAAATTACTTATGTAAGATGCTCTCCATTATCTTCCTCATTTTATTTACGTGTATTTTTTGGGTTTGGGGCCACACCTGGAAGTGCTCAGGGATCACTCTTGGCAGAACTCAGGGAACCATATTTGGTTCCAGGTATCAAATGGGGATTGGCAAGGCATAAGGCGCCTTAACCCTGTTCTAGTTCTCTAGGCCCAGCTTCGTTATTTTAGCTTTTGGCTTTTGGGCCAAATCTCAGAACTTATTCCTGACTCTGTGCTCAGGGATCACTCCTGGCAGTGCTTGGGGGACTATAAGGGGTGCTGGGATCCAACCTGGGTCAACAGCAAGCATGGCAAACACCCCAACTGCTGTACCATCATTCTGGGCCCTGAGATTCCTTGTTTTATACATAAGTATTACATGAAAGTCCCCTCTCAAATGAGAGTGACCATCTGCCTAGTTTTAGCAAGTATAGGCTAATAGCCTCCTTTTGTCTCATTTGCATGGTCCTTTTTTTTTTTTTTTGCTTTTTGGGTCACACCCAGCGATGCTCAGGGGTTACTCCTGGGTCTCCACTCAGGAACTACTGCTGGTGGTGCTCTGGGGATCATATGGACACTTGGGCTTGAACCCGGGTTGGCCACGTGCAAGGCAGATGCCCTATCAGCTGTACAATGGCTTCAGCCCCACGTAGTCTTTGTTTTTTCCCAGCTATTAATTCACATATAGATGAGTATTTTATTTGCCAACATTGTGCCCAGCATTGATATGGAGACACATAGCTCCTGACTTTAAGGATATTTTGTCTATAGGGATATACAGAGAATTCTAATTCAATGTGGTTAAGTGAAACATCAAATAGATAGATAGATAGATAGATAGATAGATAGATAGATAGATAAGGTAGGTCAAGTAAAGCTCTTAGGGGAGGTGAGCCTTTAAGTGGGAAGGGATGAGTTGGTCTGGATGGAGGTGGAAAAGGAGGTTCAAGGCAGGTGCAGGAAGAGCAGGGGAGGCAAAATGACCAAAGCTGGAGAGGCTGCAAACCACTGAGTTAGTGGCTGGAGAGCAAGGGTGGCGAGGAGGGCATGTGCTGTCTAGATGTGGAACGCTTTGGATGTTCCACCTTTAAAGCGCTTTGCTCTTTCCTGGCAAAGCTGGTGTAAGCAGGAAGGAAGAATAGCTTTAAGGAAACACCTCCCTCGTGTGTCATCACTGTCAGGTCCGGAACGGCAGAGACACAACCTCTCCTCTCTGGCACACAGCACGCCGTCCACGAATGATGGATGATGGATGAATGAATCTAAGCATTTCGGTGTTGACGTTGTCGCCCCCAGTTTTGTTTATCTCGGACCAAGGTAATGAAGTCCGGGCATCGGAGTCGGAGGTTTTAGGACAGGTAGGGGAAGGGTAGGTAGAGCTGGTGGACACAGCCTCTTCGGTGCGGGCAAGGGATACACAGAGGCCAACAATCCGAGATCCCCTGTCTGGTCCCGGAGTGGGAGGCGGCTCAGCAGCCCGCAGCGGGACTCCGGCAGGCGACAAGGAAGCGGGCACCTGGCATCGGGGCGCAGCACCAGCGCGCTCACCTGTGCACCCACGCCGGCCCCTGCAGGCGGAGCCCCCTGCACGCCGCCCTTGCGGATTGGACCGCGCTGGAGGCCGGGGGGCGGGCTTTAGAGACAGCGCGCTCTGGGGATTGGCCTCCCGGGCGGACGGACGTGAGCCCGCAGGAGCCGGTTCGCGAGCCGCGGCTGCGGGCTGGAGGGCGGCCCCTCGCCGCGGGTCCTCTACCCGTCATTGGCTCCCGGCGGTTTCCTTGGGGACGTGGCGCCGCCACCGGCCCGGGCCTTCTTCCGGCTGGGCGAGAGGCCGGAGCTTGCTGCTCTGCCCCAGAGCCCAGAGGTGCGGAGGGAACCCGGCGGGCGGCTGGAGCCGGTGAGGGAGCGGGCGCGCGGCTGGACTGGAGGACCCGGGTGGGCAGGGAGGAGTGGCGGGACCCCTCCTCCGCCACCCCCAGGGCATGGGCGGCACCTCGAGCAAGCCGCTGGCCTCGAGAATTTTCCTGTCCTCACTCCAAGGAGCCGGGGTAGGATCTGCTGGGCCCCAACCAAGAACCGACGTGTCTGCAGTGGGTAGCTCGGCAGAGCCCGGGCTCCTTCTCTGCAGGTCTTTTCGCGAGGGCATTCCGGAGGGGTAAGCCTGAAATCCCACCAACTGTTTGCATGCTGCAGATTCGGGAGATGCCTGGGCCAAGGAGACCACCTTCTCAGGGCAAAAGGAAAAGGAGGTGACAGGCGTTGAGACGGCTGAAGGTAACCCATGGCTAGGTAAGGCTGCACACTTTCCCCACCTCCATTTGGAGGAGGGGTGGGCGTCTCCGGAGCGGGCGACACACTGTTGGAGGGGTCCTGGGGAGCAGTTACAGTGAGGTTTGCTCCAGGGTTGCATTTGTACATTGTAGCCTCAGCAGATGATGCTGAAACATCAAAGATGCATGGTGGGGGTGTGGGGAAAGAGGGCACAACAGGTTTCTACTCCCTAACCCCAGGGTGCTGTAATGTTTTATTTCCTTTCTGAAAAGTTCTAAGTTGAAGTGAACTCCCCCCTGTCCCCCCCCCCCCCAAACTCCTAGCCCTTTGCTCAGGGGTCACTCCTGACAGTGCTAGAGGGATTGAACCTGGGTAGAGTGTGTTGAAAGAAGCACCTTTCCCGCCGTACTATTTCTCTGGACCCTGAAGTCTTCTTTTAAATTTTCGTTTGAGTGAGACTGGGTCTCCTTAACAAGACAGAGCAAAGATGATTCTTTTTCAATGAACTTTGGAAACAGACTGAGGTCTCTTCAGATCAATATAGAAAGTGAACGTCTTATTGCAGTCCTTGCTTATTCATACCTTACAATACTCTGAAACTTTTAGGAGAAATTAGTTGATCATATACCAATATGGGGCAGCTGTCAAAGAGAGTAACTAGAGAAAGACACAGAATAGTAGGTATGGTGTAAACTCAAAAGGAACGGACTCACACACAGGGCTTTGTTACCGCATATGATGTTATTTGTAAATAAGTGTACTAGCTGCTTAGAATGTCCCTGGAAAAAAACACATAGAAACTAAGTTGTAATGATTACTTCTGAAAGGAAAATGGTGGGGTTAGGACAACTGATCCATTCTGATTCATTGAGTGCCTATTAAAACATTTTTTTATAAATCAGTTGAATGTATTTTCTGACTAGCAGGTTTTGTACAGTATTGTGTGTATGAAAACTGAAATTGTTCCAATCCTTCAATGTTTTGAGGTTTCCCAGAGAGAGACTGGTAATGTTTTCATTAATAAGAGATTAATTACTTGAATTGCAGTCAAAAGTACAATTTGGAAAAAAGGCAGAGAAGGCTTTTTTTTTTCCTTTTTGGGTCTCACCCAGCAGTGCTCAGGGGTTACTTCTGGTGGTGCTTGGGGGACCATATGGGATGCTGGAGATTGAACCTGGGTCGGCCGCGTATAGGGTAAATGCCTTACCCGATGTACTATTGCTCCAGCCCCAAAGAAAAGGAGTTTCTGATTTATATCATTAGGAACATCATGAACCTTTTAAGTGCTTTATTTAAAAATTTGAGATTAAAAGAACCTTTAGACATCTCGTACTGTGAATTTTGACCTTGATTAGGAAGTTTGACCTTTATTGCAGTTATTCTGAATTAATTGGAATTAATTCAGAAGATGGTTTTCCTGCACTCAGATGTTCTTATTTTCACTTACTAATGTTTGTTTTATTTCAGGATCAGTTTTTCCTACCTCTGCCCAGCTTCTTGGTACTTCACTGTGCCCACAGTGAGCCCATTCTCGCGTCAGCGGGCCTTCTTGTCACTCTTCTTCATATCCTGCCTCCTGTTACTTATGTTGATTGTGGACTTTCGACACTGGGGTGCTTCGTTACCACGAGACAGGCAATATGAAAGGTGAGTCAGTGCCAGATCATTTTCATCAGCTCGCGCATGAATGTCATAAGTTTTTTGATAAACTAAGACACCACTACCTTTGACCCTCTTGGGGATTACCGCACCATTTTCTTTGTTCCGTTTGTAGAGGTAGGAGTTGGGCGGGATGGGGGTGGGGGTGGGGATCAAATCCAGGACTTCACACATGCAGGGACCGTGCTCTGCCTCTGAGCCACATCTCAGGTGGTCCTTTACTTCTGTTGGTAAAACTGCATGCCGTGTACTGAGAATGAAGCCCGAAGCTCTGTTTTAGCAATGTACTGCCTTCCTTCAAGAATGCTGATACTGAGTTTAAACCATGAAAGACATCTTTCTATTTTCTTATCATGGTGGGCTGACTTACTGGGTGTATGCATATTTAAAATTGTTATGTATTCTTGAAGAATTCACTTTTTCATCATTATTATTAAATGACTTTCTTTATCTTAGGTTATGTTCTTTACCCTGAAATCTACTAGTCTGATATGAATATAGCTATTTAATTTTTTAATTAGTATTAGCAGAATAGATTTTTTTTTGCCCTCTGTTTTTAGTTTATGTCCTTAACTTTTATTTATTTGAGGGTGGGTGAGTCACGTAACTCTGCTCAGTACTTATTCCTGGCTCTGTGCTCAGGGATCACTCCTGGTGGTGCTTGAGACCATGTGGGGTTGGCCAGGTGCAAGGCCTAGCTGCTGTATTGCTCTCCAGCCCTTTTTAAAATTTATCCTTGTTTTCTCTGTACATGGTGTGACTTTTATTTCTGGCTGCTTTTAAGGTGTTATTTTTTCCCCCTGGTTTTGAGAAATTTGATTATGATGTGGCCTGGCACAATATTTTTTGTACTTTTTGTGCTCTGATTTGTTGATTGTTGGATGTGTGGAATTATAGTTTAAAATCACATTTAAGGGAAAATTGACCCTGTTATTCTTCAAATGTTTTGATTTAGTCCTATTCAAGCTTTCTGCTGAGGGCCTGAGTGAGGCCCTGTTCAGTTTGGTGATGTTTCCTCCCAACTGTAGTGCTGTTCATTTTTTTTCCAGTTTTTTTGGTGTCTCTGTGTGTTTCTTTCCAGGTATTTTATACTGCTATGATGTCCACTTCATTAGTCCTTTCTTTTGCAGATTATTGCTGTTAATTTTGTCTGGTGAAAGCCAATGTACACACACACACACACACACACATATATGTATATATATGCACTGTAGTACTGCCCTCCCGTTGTTTGATTTGCTCGAGCGGGCACCAGTAACATCTCCATTGTGAGACTTGTTACTGTTTTTGGCATATCGAATACATCAGGGGTAGCTATATATATATATATATATATATATATACACACACATATATAAAATATGTAAATATATGTAATATATAAATATGTTTTATATATACATGACACATTATGTTACATGTCTAGTCAGTTTATAGATATATATATACGGCGCTATTACAATAGCACTGTAGCACTGTCCTAACGTTCATTGATTTGCTTCAGTGGGCACCAGTAACGTCTCCATTGTAAGACTTATTACTGTTTTTGGCATATTGAATATGCCATGGGGAGCTTGCCAGGCTCTGCTGTGCAGGCTGGATACTCTTGGTAGCTTGCCGGGCTCTCCGAGAGGGGCAGAGGAATCGAGCCTTGGTCGGACGAGTGCAAGGCAAACGCCCTACCTGCTATGCTATCGCTCCAGCCCATTCCTTTACAATAACAATTTATTTTTCCTGAGCTGCTTGGGTGTTTTCTGTCTTGTTTTGTTTTTTTGCTTTTTGGGTCACACCCGGCGATGCACAGGGGTTACTCCTGGCTCACGTACTCAGGAATCACTCCCGGCGGTGCTCAGGGGACCACATGGGATGCTGGGAATCAAACCCGGGTCGGCCACGTGCAAGGCAAATGCCCTACCTGCTGTGCTATTACTCCAGCCCCTGCTTGGGTGTTTTCTAAAAACATTTTTAGTTTCCCTCTGTCTTTAGGATATAACTTTCCTAAAATGACTTAATAGGCGGAGCCTGATCTGACTAGCTTTATTTCCCGCCACTTGCTAATGATCTGAGCTCCCGCTATATTCATTTGTGCAGGCTTTGGAACATGTTTGTGTTCAGCATCTTCAGTGTGATTTTCTCTATTGCTTCTCAGAGATGTATTAATTAGGCAGTGTTAGGCTTCGAATGATCGTCAACTATGCACCTGTGCTGGCTCATATAGCTAGAAGTCAGGGATGGAGGGACCACTAGTTCCACATTGGCTGGCAGGATGAGTCTTTACCTCTTTTGTTCTTGGTGACAATTTACTAAAGGTTGCAGAATAGCAGCTAGTGGCACCTGGCGTTATAAGACACACATCCTCATTTAAGTCTCCATTAGAGAAACAGACTTTCTGTGGCTCGCATGGTAAAGGAGACCCTGCTCAGAAACCTCTAAGTGACCCTTTCTGTGACTCTTTTTCGCTCAAATTGGGACTAATACCTGCTCCCCTTCCTATGTCTGGGCTGTTCTCTCCACAGTATTTTTCGTTTCCTATCACTTTGGTCATCCATTTCTTGGACTTTTATTGAGCAGCTACTCTGACTGTAGGTGATCACAGGCGTTAGGACATTTTTGGTGCCTTTTTTCAATAAGTTTTATGCTTTGAATCCTCCCTCCTGTTTGTACTAGCAGTCCTATTAATTTGTCCTTTGAACTCTTTCCTTTCTATAAGAGGAAATACATAAACCATAGTTGACTATACTTAGACTATAGTTGACAACAGATGTCCTTAAGAAGCTTGTTAGTTTTGGAGAACTACATCCATAATTTGAGTTTCTTTGATGTTTGTTGGAATTTTTTCCAATCTAAGCAGTAGACCTAAGCAGTTCCCCACAGGAAGATAGAGTTACTCTAATTATGAAATTCTATGTTAGTTAATATGGCTGTAATGAAGAGTATCAGGGAGTGGGTGGTGAGGGGTAAAGTTAGAGAGGAAGATCAGTGGCCTGTTGAACCATTTCCAGGGCAGTTAGACATTGTCCTAACGACATAGGGAAGTCTTTGAAGGGATATGATTAATGATTTTGTTTTTGGGCCACACCCACTGATGCTCAGGGCTCACTCCTGGCTCTGCACTCAAGAATTACTCCTGGTGGTACTTGGGGGACCATATGGGATGTCAGGGATCGAACCCAGGTTGGCTGCAAGCAAGGCAAATACCCTACCCGTTGTACTATGGCTCCCACCCTCTTAATGATTTTTAAGGACAACTGACTTTGTGTCATTGTTGAGAATGAATTAAAGGGGAGTAAGAATAAAATTGGGCTGGAGCGATAGCACAGCGGTAGGGCTTTTGCCTTGCAAACGGCCAACATGGCCAACATGGCCAACCCGAGTTCGATTCCTCTGTCCCTCTCGGAGAGCCCGGCAAGCTACCGAGAGTATCTTGCCCGCAAGGCAGAGCCTGGCAAGCTCCCCGTGATGTATTCGATATGCCAAACACAGTAACAACAAGTCTCACAATGAGACGTTACTGGGCCTGCTTGAACAAATCGATGAACAACAGGAGGACTGAAGAATAAAATTAGGGAGACACATTGAAATACTACAACAGGGAGGTGATGTTGGTGGCCTGAATTGGCCGCTGCAGTCATAAAAACAAGTAATAGATGTATTTGAGAGCCATGCAGGAGTAGAGGAATCTTGATAGTTTGGTTCTTGTCAGCCACTACTCCCCAGGGCATCGGATCCAATAAATACTTGTTACACTTAATTGAATTAAGCCGGAAGTAGTGCTAAGGAGATCACCTTATCCAAGTCTGCTCACCCTGTGAAACTCTGGCTGAGCAGTCAGAAGTCATGAAGCGTGAAACTGCTGCTTCCTTCATGAACAATAATATGCATATTATGTATAAATTTATGTGCATATTCTCCCCTCCCCCCCCCCCCCCCCCCCCCCCCACTGTACCATACCAGACAGTGCTCAGGGTTTACTCCTGGCAGGGCTTGGGGGATTCTGGGTGGTTGTCTGGGAGTGAACTGGGCAAGGCAAGTGCCTTACCTGCTGTGCTGTCTCCCCGGCCCTTATATGTGCATACTCCACTGTGGAAAATTACATGCACCTATCATCACACTTCACACACAGCAGACTTGGTGTGTCATTGAAGTAGCAAAACCTCCGTGAGAGTGTGCCGGGAGCATGCTGCTTTGCCAGGCACTGGGGTACAGGATGGCCAAAACATCAGTCCTAGAACTCGTGGCGGTCCTAGACCAGTTCCAAAAAAACAGACATGCTTCCCACAAGATGCCTGATTGTGTATAACTGAGAATCCAAGAGGGACTGGAGCGATAGCACAGCGGGTAGGGCGTTTGCCTTGCACGCGGCCAACCTGGGTTTGATTCCCAGCATCCCATAGGGTCCCCTGAGCACCGCCAGGAGTGATTGCTGAGTGCAGAGCCAGGAGTAGCCCCTGTACATCGCCGGGTGTGACCCAAAAAGAAAAAAACAACCCCCCCCCCCACCAAAGAATCAGAAACTGCACTGTCCAGATTAAGGAACATAGTATAAGAATCAGAAATTAATCAGAAGAGGCCCGTGAGTGGCCAAGCTTGATATTGCCAAGTTCACTAAGTTCAATGTTCTCTTGTCATTTAAAGCTCAGTACTTTGCTGATAAGATAGGCCCTCACTTGGAGCATGCTTGCATTTGTTTCACATGCTGTTTTAATTAGGTTTGTTCTCTCTCTTGGCTCTGAACAAGTAACAGCACGCTAGAAGGGTGTGGAGGTGGGGAGTGCGTAGTGGTCATTAGATACAGCCCCAAAGATGACAATCGTCAATCATCCCCAGTGTCCAGACTGTGAGGCAGGACAGAGGACTTTTTGTTTGTTTGTTTTTGGACTCCCGGCTCTCTGTTCAGGAGTCTTTCCTGGCGGGGCTAAGGAGATCATATGTGGTGCTGGGAACTGAACTCAGGTCAGCCATATGCAAGGCAAGCACCTTGTCTTCTG